TAGAAAATAGCATCTTGAATCTAGCACATACAAGGATTACTTCTTAAAACTAGTTCATTGTCTGCTTATGGGGTCCTTGTGAATTCTAGATGCAAGTGGCATCTTTTAATAATATTTTCTGGTACAATAAAAAATATAAATCTTAGTGTCTGTTTTGCCACTGGGTCCTGCATTTTTCAACCACCTGAAACTCCCACGGTGCACGAAATGCCCAAGAAAGATGGGAAGGAGCCATAAATACTAAGCAATTGTATAACAGCGAGGACGCTGCAGCTCATCTGCACTGGTAAAGGCAAGACCTGCACATAAAGTTCCCACTCATGTGAGTTATGGGTCATTTGCTCATTAGTGAAGTGACTAATCCAGCAGTGAAGAGGATGTCTAGTGCAAAAAAATTGCATTATACTACCGACTGCTGTGATGGATTCTTTATATGCTCTTTGTGTTATCGTTCAGAGGACCCCCTTTACCCAACCCTTGGTGTTGCAGCCATGTTATAAGGAATTTTATCAGAGCAAACAGGAGTCTTCATAAGGCAAGAAACAATAGAACAAGCAGGAAATAAATAATAACTAGATAACCAGGAAACAGCACTAACACAATAGATGTTCAGTCATTAGTTTAAACTGTCACATTTGTCCTGAAATGATCAGAACAATCACAGTGGAGCTGCAACGGTGAAGTTTACGATAAATCCACGCTTATGCATTTTGAAGGCCTCTTCAGGGGAGTTAGAGGAATAAAAAGGGAAATCAAGGGCGAAACTTGACAAGGAAAGTAGGCGAGCCTGAAAACGTTTCCCAGCATTTAAATTCCTTAAAATTTTTGAGGCGCTTACCACCGAAAAGAAGCATTGCTTCACTTACCCACCACTTATAATGACCTAACACTAACATGGTAATCTCAGTGGGATGTTTAATCATGATGGGGTTTTGTTCCTCCACATATTGTCTTTCCAGACATGGTTTAATGAGACAAGTCTCTTCCGCCCTTTCAGTCCACATAAGTGCCACAAGATAGTTTCAACACATGGAAATAGCATTCTGCCACTGTTTGATCACTGCTAAAATTTTATTATTTATAGATACTTTAACCAAACTACACTGATTTTGAATACTCAAATTAATAATATAATTGATTCTGGATATTAAAATAATTAATATTTATGCAAACACTGTAAAGTCTGAAAACTACAATCATTTAGGACTGGATTTTTTTTAAAATTCAACCTATTCAATGCATACAAGATGAAGAAAGGGATGCATAGTTTCAAATTTGCTTTGTTACCTACTGATGCTTACCAAAACATAAGGATTCTGTGTTATATTTATAGCATTCTGACTGCTTCTCCCACTTTGATTTCTCTTTTGTATCTCTTTTACTGGAGATGCTTAGAAACAATTTGTAGGTGAAATGACCTCTAACACCGAGCAGCAAAGTTTTGCCTGCTTTGCTTTGCACCTCTCAAAGTTAAAGCTAAGTTTAATTGAAGCTAATCTGAGTCATCACCAAAACTCCCCCTTTTTTTCCCCCCCTGTACCTGTTGCCATACAAAGCAGAGAGAGATTTGAGGCTTTAATCGTGGTTGTTTATGACCCTCTTTGGTAAGACTTGCTGAATTTCTAATTATGTGCTTAACCACTAGAACAATGTTCCATACGTTACTGCATAAAAAGTCCTCCTTGATCACCTTCTTCGAAGTCACATAGCAGCCTCAATCCGTGAAGGCATGGGATTGCTTTCCTGACATTTATTGAATAACCATTATTTAAATTATTTTTCTTCTTTCAATGAATTTGTCATACACTGTGCTTTACAACAGATTCTCTTTTTTGCTTGTTATTTACGTAAAAATTTCAATGCTCTGTTGCCAGAAATAAGGCAATGAACACATACATGTAAAAGTAAAGTATGATTCACACAAAAATTTAAAAATGAGTGGAAATATACTGGAAAATGCAAAGTTTTATTTTGCTATCACATTGTATTTATCTGTAAGAAACATTTAAAATTAAAAGTATTGCCATAAAAAGTAAACCTGAGCATCTCTGTTCAAGCATTTCTAATTCATTCCAAATTAATCTGCTTTCACGGGAAAAGAAAGATGTAGTAAAAATAACATTTCTCAGCCTAGTGAGGCGCAGTGATATAAAAGGCCTTGATCCATGGCCCACTAGAACTCATTTTACAGTGACATCACTCAGTCCCAGATCAGGGCTTGAGCAAAGTGTATTTTCTAAGTAGCTGACAATTTGCTCCCAGTAACTATTTCTTCTCACATTTGCACCGAAGCTGTCATTCACTTTGGAAAAACAAAATAAACAGATACCCCAAACAGGTTTTTTAATAGAGTTTTTATAGTTTGGAAATGGCAGAGAATTATACTCTGAAAAATTAAGAAGGAAAACCACGATACTATATAGGCAAATGAAATTAAAATACCTAAATGCTTGGTTTTCCATGGTGTAGACATTACACCGTAACCGTCAGTAATTTAAATTTCATCATTATCATGCATTTGTAGGATTTCTTCAAAAGTTAACATGATAGTTAATTTGAGATTGCTGACTTAGATCACAATACAGTAATTAGCCAAAATTAAAATTTAAGTCAAATTTGAAAGAAAACGAATCAGGTAATACAATGCATTGTGTAGTACTTTTTCCACAGACAACTCCACTGATAATCTTACAGTGCATGAATTATCTGGGAAGAAATACACTGTGATGGTACAATTCTGTTATAAAACTGTCTTTGAATTAAGGTGGCGATGCAATAGGTGCTAGCTTCCACTGAAAATACTATATGTATTTTTTTATATCTACTCTGGAGATGCATTTTTTTGTATTTTTATTGTGGAAGTAGAAACAGCAAAGGTTTTGAGAAGTGCGGAGTGTCTCTACTGCTCTAGAGGAGAGTGGTTTGTACTTGCTTAAAATACACATCTTGCAGTAAAATAATTATTTGAAAGACCAGAACAAATCCTGAATAAAAAGAGTTAACACAAACATTTTGAAGTAGTTATCTGAGCACAAGATGAAATTAAATGCAGAAGGAGGAAAGGAAGAAACTGTATTTCAGCAGAAGGAGGTTCTTGTCTCTTCCTGGCACCTCTGCTCTTCTGTAATTTTTATTTTTCATACTGGGAGTTTTGATCATTTTTCATAAGGGAGAGTTGCTCAGCTATCTGTTCCACATAGTTTTAAACAGAAACTGGAAGAATAAGAAAAACAAGGCAAAACAAAACCTAAACCCTGTATGCTCCATTTGCTGAATATATGGTTTCCTTCCCCCCGTTGTGCCTGTGCCAGATGGCACTACACTGGGTTGGATGATAATAAACATGAAAAATACAGTCAGTGCATGAGCAGAGATAACTGTGGCTGAATGTACCAGGACTGGGGCTGGTAGGGGGAAGGGGCAGAAGTTCCAGCTGTGAGAGAAAAGCAAAGTTCTGCTCCTCGAGGGAGCAGCTGATCTTGTTTCCAATTAGCTCCTATTGGCAGGGGGACATGGAGCCACTGGAAAAGAAGGTTTTCCCTGGTTATTCCAACCCCTGCCCATGGGGCAGATCAGGGATCATTTCCTTCCAAGTAGAGCCCAGTCCATTAACCTGGGGTGATGGGAACTGTTTTGGTGCTGTAAAGGGACAGAGAGCCTGAGCAAGACAACACACCTTTGGGTTTTCATCCCTGGTATGTGAGTCTGGCAGGCTGCTGAAAAGGGGTAAGGTCCACCAGGCACGATGGGCTTAGAATAGGGCTGATGGGGGGGAGGGACATGTCTGGATCAGAAATGGTGACAACTCTGTGCGCACCTGTCCCTCTCCCGTGGTCTGGTCACCTCATCATCAGCTGGGAACAGTGGTGTCCACAGAGAGGACCCCCACCTCTACATATCCCCAAGGCAACACCTCCCTGGTAGGTGTGATGAGCTGCTGCTCCTCTTTGAAGCTCCTCCTTCACAACCTCTTTCTGGAAGTGCTTCAGCAGAGACCTGGATGAAGATGCACCCACTTACAGTAAGAGGGCATTTGGCACCTGGCCATGCGCATTGCTGTTGTCCTCTGTGTAGGCACTGGCTGCCTACATTGCTTTTTTCTTTTCTGCATTCAATCCAGCAAGTGAGCGACCCATAGGGTACCTAAAGCATGTCCAGCACCTCCCAGTACACAGATTTTGGGGGATCCATTTATCTAGTAGGTAAATTTTTAAGGTGGTAAATGAACAAATACCTGGCAGAGATGGGTGCTTGCAATTAATCTCATCTCTTTAGAAACATTTTTATGAGTTGGGTAGCAGTCTGAGTTGCTGCTATTACTCACTTGACCATGAAGCTGATGTAGTTGAAAATAGGTCTTTTTTTAACCCAGTACTTGTCTTCGGAAAACTCTCTTTGGCAAGGGGAAAGATCTTTCAGCCAGAAGATGAAGCAGTACCTATGCATTGATTTATTTGCCTCATTCACTTCAAGCTCTTTTTGGTTTTCTTTGCTATTCTCATCTTTTCCTTCTTAGCCACCACTGCATTCTGAATGGGGCAACCTTAATTTTAGGAAGCCAATCAAATCACAGTGAATAATTATTTACTTTTAAATAATTCCATCCTTTGTAATTTATGTGATGTTATTATAGAATCTGCTATCCAATCTAAAGGGAAAGAGCCAGTTGAAGGGGTAGGAAAGAAACATGGAATTATTTTTTGTCCTGTAAATACTGTAATTAAGAGTTTCTTAGCTCAGCTCTCTTAGACCAATGAAACTTTCTTCTCTGCTCCTGCATGAATGCTAAACAGTCCACACTCAAGGGTGACCACTAATATGTGTGACCACTCCATTTATGAACCAGGCAATGTCTGAGGCTGGGGTGCTATCCATCTCTGTAGGCTCACTGTAAGGCTGTTGTTGAAGAAGAAGCTTTGGATTCACTAAGTCCTGTGAGATAGGAGATTAGGGAGAGGCAAAGGTAACCTCCAATATTTTTAGATACCAGTGGTACAGACCTTTGCTTCTTGAGCACAGGCTCTTGACATGAGGGTGGAAGAGAGGGGAGTTTCCTCTGCTCACCACATGGTGATCACAAGTGTCACCTACAGACAAAAGAAAATGAAAAGGAACAATAAGTGAAACACAGGCAATGATTTCGTCCCTTGAAAATGCACATTAATCATCTGACAGGCCTCAGCTTCACTGAACTGAAAGTTCAGTTCGTTTCTCATGGCAGGGCTAATTTTGGGACCAGTGCCGGGAGGAGAAGCTGGAGCAGAGCTGGCAGCAATAGTTAGGAGAGGCTACTGCATGACTGTATTAAGAAACCGAGTATTTACAAAAACTCCTAACGGATCCGTAAATACCCAGCTTAGCTGCTGGTTTAATCACTCGTAAAGACATTGCCTGACTCTTTTAAAGCCCTGCATATCTGAAGTTTTGGAAGGAACTGTGACTAAATACTTCACTGCCTGCTCACAGCGATCGTTCCTCGGAGTTAGTTTATTAGAGTGCCTGAAAGAGACCTGACAGAAAATAAGTTAAATGCAACTTAAATCATCATCTGACACGACAATAAGAAAGGCGAGGCGTCCACCAAAAGGTTGCAAAAGGCGTCAGCTGCACTGAAGTTATTAGGAGTGGACGGAGAGGGACTGTGGGATGTGAGCGGGCAATGTGGCTGGGATCCCAGTCCCCAGTTGTTGGGGGGGGGGGGGCTTTTTCCCCCCCTTTTTTCCCCTTTTCTTACACTTTTTTTTACCCACTTTTTTTTTCTGGTGACTTCGAAAGATGTCACGGCAAAGTGAAATCTTTGTGGAGGGCTGATCATGCATTCAGACTGTAGAGTTTTCAAAATGTGATGTTTTGCAATGATGACATTAGAGTAGCAACCAAGGGTCCGAGACAGCAACGCCTGCTGCAGCTGGGCTTCGCTTTGAAATGCCCAAGACAATGGGGGCCACTGTTCTTCATCGCTTCGCCTTTCCATTCCATTTGCATAGTCTGTTCTGCCTGATTGACCAGCTTGGGCTGTCCAAGGGACCAGTATTGTTCACAGATCACTTCAAGATGGCACAGATGACAAGATTCAGGTGAGAGATGAAGTGGGATGATTCTCGAATGCCATAAGGAAAAGCTACCCTGGGAACTTTTAGCTCGAGAGAAATAATTCGAGAATCTAAGCCGTTAACAGATTATTTTAAAAAACAAACAAACAAACAAACAAAAAACCCCAAAACCCAAACAACAAAACAAACAAACAAAAACAAAAAAGCAAAAACAAAACCAAAAACCTGATCATACTTGGAACTACGCCGTCACGACACACAAATAAGTAACAGGAGGTTTGTGTGTTTCGTTGAGGTATTTTGTTTTGTTTGTGTTTGGTTGCGTTGGGGGTACTTTTTTTTCTGGTTTGGGTTCGTTTTTTTTTCTTTTTCCATCCCAAACCTCACCTTTCCTAGACTAGTCGTACCTTTCCCCAGGCAGGGAGTCGTGCCATTGGAAAACTTTGTCAATAACAGTTTGCTTAAAAAAATAATTGACAATTAATAAAGCTCATCATAGAGACGAGTTTTGAAATTCCCGAGTGCCTGCTCCGTAACCAAATGCCCGGATTAATAAATTAATGCTCATAAAGCTCTTTCGACGTGGAAAACCCTCCTAGAAAGGTGAAGCGCGCAGAGCGCTGTCAGCCACCCCCGGGACGGCAGTGCCCCCAGCCCGGGCTTCGTGGAGGGGAGCGAGGGGAGGCTGGAGGACTCCTCGCTTTTCCCGAAGAAGCTGTAAACTCTCTGCTGGCCCAGATTCACGACTGAAACGTCATGGTTTGGGCTGCTTTCCCCTCACCCCCCCCGCCCAGGTACTCGAGTAAACACACACACATGGCAGCGCCCCTAAAATGAGTTTCATTTGACACCGATGTTTTGACTTCATCTCAAAAAGACAAAATCTTTGTCATACAAGTATGTTTTCCCTGGAGGGGTTTCCAGAACAATTTGCTATAATTTCCTTACACCTAACGGAACTGATGGGATCTGAGCAGTAAAACATATTCCCACAGTAGTTTCTCTCGCGCGCGCTCTCTGTTACCCTCCTGGGGTTCAGATCACTCTTTAGTATAAATATTGCCAATAATTGTGCTAATATGGTGATTCTCGGAAAGAAGCAGAACTCCCTTCTCCTCATGTATCAGACCTAAAGCCATGCGACTCCTGCTTAATCTCTCGGTGTTTTCTCTCCTAGCTGCTCGTCTTTCCCCTGCAGCGACTAATACACTTAATTACATGATTTACAAGAATTGCCAACAAGGTCCCAGGGGCCGCTAAAGACGGACCCCCCGCCCGGCGAGCGGGGCGTAAGGTGTGTGCCTGTATGCCACATGGGCATCTCAAATGGAAGGTGTCTTCAGCAGGACTCGGTTCATCAAAACTATCCAAAATTTCAGGCCCTTCTCCGCCGTTTCACACATACCCACACACCCCTCTCATGTTGCGTTCCGGTCCCAGGTTGGTTTGAGGAGTGTCGTTGTTCCCCCACTTTGCCCTCCCTCCCCCCACCCCCTCCTCGAGAAAGGGGTTAAAAGCTGCAGAGGAAACTTAAGTGGCTCTGGAGTTTGTTTAATTTCCCTCCAGTGTTTACTGATAATTCGAGAGACGCTTATCTCGGGGAATATAACGATTAATACAACCGCAGGTTTCCAGATAAGTGATTGTGATGGAGATTGTTGGCGAGAAAATAGACAATTATCCGCTGTTAGCTTTACATAAAGATCGCATTAACTTGAATTAGTTATCAGACAAAAGAACATCAGAAAGCTGCACCTTTCTGCCAAGGCAACTGCTTGCAGGCGGTGTGCTCCGCACAAGCAAACGCACCGCTGCCTCCCCAGCATCTCGCAAGCATGAAAGGGGCGGTGGGCCCGGGGGGTCGCGGGGGGGGCGACGGCACCGACACGCCGCGCTCCTGCGGAGGCACGGCCGCTGCGAGGAGCGGGAAGGGCGAGCCCCGGGACCGGGGGATCGCTTTAATATCAGCTGCCCGGCCGGGCCGCTTTCATTTCCATAGGGCGAAATTAACATGGACGTGGGGCAGGCGCTGGGGCGGGGGCAGCACGCCCGGGGAAGAAGCGGCGTGGCTGATCGCCAAGGAAACCTCGCTGAAAGGGAAGGGTAGAGCATGTGGCTATTAAAATCCCGACACAATAATAACATTAAGGGGAAAAAAAATAAAACCATAATGATAACTTGGAGGCAGCTCTCCATTTGCATATGAAACCAGCGGCCAGAAGCGCGGCAGTTCCCTTGCCGCATTATGTGCTCGGCGGTCCGAGGTCGTCCTCCCCCAGCAAGACTGAAAAGCCTTTTGATTATTTCTCCTCTCCCTAGGAAAGGCTGATTCCTCCGTAATTGATACGGGGAAGGGCCGTAATTAATTTTGCAGCGAAGTAAAGTGCAGCTTCTTCTCCCGGCTGGAGGGGAAGGGCTGAGAAAGAGGAAAGGGTGCGAGGGAGCGGAGGCGAGTGGAACTCCTTCCGAGAACCCCTAATTAAAAGAAATCACGCCTCACCCTCCCCGGCACCGAGACCCCCTCGACTCCTCGCCACCCCCTCGCTCTCCAGGGAGACAGGAAGGGCAGGGACCGTGGGCTGTTTTCACCGAGTCAGAAAGCATTCACCAGGCGCTTATGGTGCGGGAGGTTTCTGTGGGAATCGAGTGGTTCGAGTAATTGGAAGGGGAGGCGGGTGCACTCTCGGCTGGTTTCTCTCTGGAATTAAAGGCAGTCTTCAAAATAGGGTGTTTGTTACAGAACTTCAGCTGGGAGGAAACCTGCCATTTCGGATCAGTGCATTTTCTGTGCTGGGTTTCCAGACGGACCCTTAAGCATCATGTTTATCTGCGTAAGGGAAGAGGAAAACGGGACAGGGGTGGGAGGCTTTTCGTGTGTGATGGGGCAATAGTGGTAAAAAACGGTGAGGTACTTCAGGCGGCAGGCTGAAGCCTAACAGATGCTGGAATACAAATCAGCTCGGGGGAACAGGGGCACCTCAGGTCCATGCCTGAGGCAGCCGCGAAGGGAGCGGAGAGGGGATGCCAGGTGAAGTGGCGCTGCTCCCACCCGGGACGGAAAGCCCTGGGAGCCGTCCCCAGCCTTGGGACGTGCCGCTGCCTCCTCTGGGTCCCCGCTGAATGGAGAGGATAATGATCCCTGGTTCCCAAGGCAGGCTTGCTGCTGCCTGGTGAGCCTTGGATTTGTGTGGTCCAAGCCTTTCCCAGCTTGTCCCATTCTGTCACCGGGATAAGGGGCTCCCTCGGCTCGTTTGCACCTGCGTCGCTTTTGGCTCCTTCAGGAATGCGCTGAAGCTTGTAATCAGCTTTGTGAAGCCATTGAGTGCACGGCTGAGTGAAACTTCCAAAGCTCGCAGAAAACTGGCCCGCTGAATAGGAGTCAGCATGGGGCTTCTCTCCAAGCCCCTGGCCTGCCAAATTCCAGCAGAGCCCCTCACAATCAGTCCACACAAGCTTTACTGCTCTCCCCGCATTGAGAGAAGCGAGAAAAGAAAAGCTAAAATACCAGTCACCGAGGTTAGCGGTTTGTTCCCAGATTAATGGCAAACGCTTCTCTGCCCAATCCCAATTCACTCGGGGGATGTGTGTGTATACATATATATATATATATATATGCGTGTATGCATATAAATATACGTGCATATGAACATGTATAAGAGCCTATGGGTATAACAAGAAAATGAAGAAGGAAATAAGGGAGAGTTATTAAAATTTTATTTTGTGTGACCACAAAGGTTCTTGAGGCACCAATAGGTAGCAGGCTGTCTTGCTGTCCCACGGGGTTATGCTATTCTCATCTCAATCTTTTCTGCAACAGTATGGTTTTAAGGCTCTCGATGAATGTGACTCCCAACTGCAGTCCGGTTTTCCATCTGGAAGTGATTGCATAGCAAACAAAACTCCGGGGGAGAGCAAGAGAAAAGTAATGGGCAGGTTTAAAAAAAAATAAAATATAAAAACTTCAACTCTAACATCATTAAACCCACTTTAGGATAACTCAGAGGGCCAAGACTCTGTGGTACTCGCAGAACGGG